AATTCTAGTAATTTCTGTTCAAAAACCAGAGAAATCGGGTTATTTGGCAGCCGAGATACAGTAATTTGAAGTTTTGGAGGTTAGAGACGCAGTGTGTCTCGTTGTCAGCGTCTCTTACCTCCTTACTTCAAATGACCATATCCCGGGTTCTAGACAAGCTAGAAACCTGTTTTTTGTACCAAAATGTTCCTGAATAGGTGGGAAATCAGAAAATCCAGAGAAATTTCAAAAAATCAAGTTTCTAGTTAATCTGAAAGTCAAGATACAGTTGGAGAGAATTTGGTACCTAGAAAGTTCAAATTTCGAAAAATTAGAAAAAATTACTAGTTTCTCATTGACATGCATCACAGCTCCGAAATTATCAAAATGACCACAATAACTTGGTGCCGAGAAAATTGTGACCAACTTTCTGTCACCAAAAAATTCATATCCATCCATGACGACTTGATGCGCACGAACAATCATCTCCAGTTCGTGGCGTGCCAAAAAATCGTCCAGCGCCTCCCTTCCGAACAAACATCCGGCGCCGCGTGGCGAGAAATCGTACCCTTTGATGAGTTCCGTCGGATCGGACCAACACAAATCGGACGGCACTCCCTGATCGCGATCTCGAATGGACGAGGTATCACTTCTAGGTCTCTGGAAATGTTTACTTGTATATCGAATTTAGCTTGATCTTGTAGAACAAAAAATTTTAGATCAAAGAGTTTTAAAACGATAAAATTTGGACCACTAGAAGCCGAGATACAGTAATTTGAAGTTTTGGAGGTTAGTGACGCAGAGTGTCTCGTTGTCTGCAATTGCGCATCAATCGAAATGTGTATCGTCGACTGCTGTGAGATTCGTATGACGCCATTTCAGAAATGAGATCATTTTTGATTTTTGATGATTTTGATTGAATAAATTTATAAGCATTCCAAAAATTTGTTCTAAGAAAATACATTTTGGTCCAAAAACCAGTTTTCTAGTTCTTTTGGGAGCTGAGACACAGCGTTTCCAAGTTTCGGGGTTAGAGACGCAGAGTGTCTCGTCGTCTGCCTCTCTCGCCTCCTGAACTTCAAATTACTGTATCTCGGGTCGTATATGAGCTAGCAAGTTAGTTTTTTGACCAAAATAAGTGTTGTGATTCATATTTTATTAAGAAAACAAAGTTAGGTTTGTTTTAAAACTTGAAACAAACAGATTTTTTTTGTCTCATCCGAGATTCCGCTCCTAATAGACCCTGGTAACCTGAAATTCCTTTCTGAAGTTTGCACGTGAATTGCCAGCTATCACCAGCCAACAATTGTCAACTCAAGAACTCCGCCTCCCTCTAGGCTCCCAGATCCTACACATTTTCTTAAAATCCCCAACAAATGGGCGACGACTTTCCAGTTGGCGAAGCGCAGGGTAGCCTGAAGGCTCCTATTGCAGAAGGCGCCGAACTTCCGACAAATGGAAAAGTCTACGAGTTTTTACGATCAATGATCAATCGATTAGTCGATGAATGGATGCCTGGCGTGTGTCAGACGCTGATTGAGGAGAGGGAATACATCGAGTTGTGCTATCGAGCGAGAGAGGCGTTTTGGGCGGATAAAGTTTGGTTGGAGGTTAGTTTTTTTTTTTTAAATTTTCCCTGAAAACCTAAGATAGAGTCATTTCAGGCCTTTTAGAAAGAAGTCAATTTTCAGTTGTTCTCAGAAATTTAAAATTTTTTGATTTTTCCAAAAAATCAGAATCAAATTCTCCATTTTAGTCCAAAAACCAACTTTGTAGCCCTCCTAGAACCCGAGATACAACGCTTTGAAGTTTTGAACGCAGGCAACCAGACACTCTAACTGTCTGCGTCTCTTATCAGCTTTGACTGCCGGTTTAAAATGATGCAAGAAAAAAGAAAATTGGACCGAATTGTGTCAAATTAAGGCCATAATGTTACCATGTTCTAAAAAGTTGAAAAACTGAAATTTTTAACATACAATTTTTTTTCTAAAATGCATTTTTTTGAAGTTTAGTATGCTAGATTCTAAAAATAAGAAGTAAATCCTTCATTTTTGTCGAAAAACCATCGTTCTAGCATTCCTAGGAGCCGAGATACAGCTCTTTGAAGTTTTGGGGTTAGAGACGCAGTGTGTCTCGTCGTCTGCCTCTCTCGCCTCCTGAACTTCAAATTACTGTATCTCGGGTCGTATATGAGCTAGAAAGTTCAAAATTTGACAGAAATGTGGGCAACATTCCAAAAATTATATTTTCATTTTTTGAAATTCTGGGAATTTTTAGATTTTCGGATTTTTTGAATTTCAAAATATCAAATTTTAAGGAATTTTTGGATTTTTTGGAATTTAGAAATATTCGAAGTGATTCGAATGTATTGGTATTTTAGGAACTTTTATAAAATTTAGAATATTTGAAATTTCTGGAAATTGGGATTTTATGAATTTTGGAAATTTTAGGAATTTGTAGATTTTCGATTGTTTTGAATTTAAAATGTTTGAATTTTTGGAAATTTCTGGAGCTTCTGAAAAAATTAAATTTTTGGAGTTTTCATTTCTTGGAAAATACAAATAAAATCCTTTATTTTAGTCAAAAACTCACTTTTCTAGCTTATCTAGAAGCTGAGATACAGCCCTTTGAAGTTTCGGGGTTAGAGACGCAGCGTGTCTCGTCGTCTGCGGCTCTCACCTCCAAAACTTCAAACTGCCATATCTCAGCTCCCAGATGAGCTAGAAAGCAGTTTAGAAGAGACGCAGACAGTTAGAGTATCTCATCGTCTGCGTCTCTAGCCTCCTAAACTTTAAATGGCTGTATCTCGGGTTCTAGACGAGGTAGAAAACTGGTTTTAGACTGAAAATTGGAGGATTTGCTTTCGTTTTCTTGATAAAATAAAAACTTTGGGTTTCTAGGTTATAAGCAATAAATTCAGATCGAGCCACCAATCACAATTTGTGGCGACATCCATGGACAGTATGAGGATTTATTGGCAATGCTCAGCATGTTCAGTTTTCCACCACATTTTCCACTCGACAAAGATTCGAAAGTTTCGTCACCTCCTCAGAGGTGTGGAGATTTTGAAACTTTAGATTTTTTGGATTTTTTTGAATCATTTTCCTCCAAGAATCAGTTTCCTAGCTTATCTAGAACCCGAGATACAAGCGTTCAAAGTTTTGGAGGTTAGAGTCCATTGCATTCAGCTGTTGATCTCTCTTCTCCAATTTCTCGATTTTCAACTTCAATAAATGAATTTCCCGATTGAAACATGGCGTTGATCCTGGATATTTGATTGCAGTTTTCAAAGTTTTCGCATTTTTGAATATTTGAGATGAGCAATCCAATTGGAGAAGTCGTTCGAATGCCCTTTTCACCACTTTTTTGTCTCTTGAAAGTGCCCAATCACGAGTGTATCGATACACTTTTTCCATTGTTGATTCTTGACGATTTTCA